CTGCCCGCGGCCCTGCCGGAGGCCGCCGCTCTGCCCGCGGCCCTGCCGGAGGCCGCCGCTCTGCCCGCGGCCCTGCCGGAGGCCGCCGCTCTGCCTGTCCAGCCCAGCTCGCCCGCGGCATCACGGGCTACCTCCCCTGAGGCCCTTTCTGCATCCCCTGAGCTCCCCGCGGCCCCTGAGCTCCCCGCGGCCCCTGAGCTCTCAGCTCGGCTCCCCAGGCCCCTGTCCCCGAGGAGGTCCCGGACTGCTGCCCTGATGCTCCTCCCTCCATAGTGGAGTCGGAGGGGGAGCTTGAGGCCCCTGTGACTGCCCCCGTTACTTCCCCTGTGACTCTGCCACCGTCACCCCAGTGTGACAGACCCCGGCCGGGTCCCCGCCTCTCAGTCTCCCGGAAAGGGCGGGGACACCTGCATCGGGCCCGGGTCCCACCCGCCCTGCCCCCTGGCTCGCCCGTTAGGCCCCTGGCTGTCGCTCGGTGGCTGCCTGCGGGTCCTCCGGCTCTGGATCGGCGGTCCCCTCCGGGGTCCCCCCCCGGTGCCTTGGTGCCGGTTCTCGGCGTCGCCTCCGGCTCCATGTCGGTCGCCTCCGGGCCCCCCTGCTTCGGCAGGGCGTCGGACGGCGCCTTCCCCGGCCCCGGCGGCGCCTCCGCCTGCCGCGGCTTCCCCCTCCTACCTGCCTCCGCTGGTGTTCCCTCCTGCTCCCTCCGTGTCCCCTCCGTCTCTCCCTCGTCCCGTTCCCTCGGCCCCTGTGTGGTTCCCTCCTGCTCCCTCCTCTCTGTCGCCTGCGGTCCCTCCGGCCACTGCCCGTCGTCCGCCTGGGCGCTCTCAGGCTCCCCTGGCTCCTCCTCCCTTTCCCTCCGTCCCGCCTGTTTTTGGTCCTTGTCCCTATGTTCCTCCTGTGGTTCCTGTGTTCACTCCTGGCCCCTTTGTGTCGCCGTTCGGTGTTCCTTCTGTGCCCTCTGTGTCTCCCTTCTTTGTCTGTCTGTCTGCGTTCCCTGTCCTTTGTCGGGTTTTGTCTTGGTTCCTGTCCTTGTTCTTGTTCTGTGTCTCTGTCTTGGTTCCTGTTTCTCGTTGATGTTTTTGGTTTTTGTTTTTCAGGTCCTGTTCCCCGGTCTCGTCTCGTCCGTCGCCTCCTCTCGGGCGCGCCCGGTGTGTGCGCCTTTGGGGGGGGGTTCTGTCATGCCCCGCTCCGTCCGATCCTAATGTGTGCCACGCCCCCTCGTTAACCTCATGTGGAATCCCAGTGTTTTACAGCTGTTTCAGATTGTTGTCATTAGTTCAGTGTATTTAGTCCGCGTTCCCGTTTGTATCCCCAGTCCGGTCATTGATGTAGTGTCATTCTGTGTTCTTGCCTGCTGTTTGTTGCATTAAACCCAGTGTTTCCCTATATTCACGGCTCATCTCGCCTGCTTCCCCGCGCGCCCGCACGATCGCCGTAACAGTAAGTACAAGATCAACAGCTACAAGACCATCCACAGAGAAGCCTTGCATGCAGAGGAACTTAATTGTTTCTTTGCTTGCTTTGAGGTAGAAACAAAGGAGACAGACCCAACATTTGTCCCCCAACAGCCACATCATCCTGGTGCAGGAGCATGAAGTGAAGTAGGTGCTCAAAACTTTAAATCTAAGAAAATCTGCTGGCCTGAATGGTGTGACAGGAAGGGTGCTGAAGGAATGTGAAGCCAGCTGTCAGGTCTTCACAAGGATCTTCAACCTGTCACTTTCAAAATGCATCATCCCACCATGCCAGAACTCTGGCACAATCATTCCACTGCCAAAAAAGGATGTCATCAGTGACCCCCCCCAACGATTATAATGAATTGACATCATCCCTCCTGTTGCCTATGCCTGTCCCTGTGCTAGACAAAACCCTGCGATCTCCATCTGACCCTAGCCCCCCCCCCCCCCCCCCCATTGTGTCCTGTTATTCCATTTGGGCCCTTCTTAGTCCTGTTTTGTTTTCCCATAAGCATTTGTGTGTTGTTCTAATAAAGACCCTCTCCACTTACCTTACGTCAGCCTTCAAATCATTCCTTTCCTAGTTGTGACAATTACCAATATTCATCCTGATGATTTGTCAAAGATTTTTTGATTTTTAGAATCTAAGACTTTGATCTGCGCAATGTGTGGGTGTTCAAAAAGTTTGATTCTTTTAGATTTGAAAACCGGTTGGACCAATTCACTGAAAAGAACTGGTTCAAAAGTATGATTCTTTCACAAATGAGATATCATTGTCATTCAACTGGATAGCTTGGATAGCTGTTTTTACATGCAAGATTAGTGTTTCTTGCTAAGACCATATTGCGTTGTACTGTAGTTCATGTAATGCTTTTCTATCAGACTGAAAATCATGCAAATAAAAATGCAAAAAGTTTGTTTTGCATTTTCTGGATGTGCTACTCAGGGTTCACAAATTTTGAACCAAAAAAGCAATTTGCTTTATCATAGCACCCCCGTCCATTGACATGGGTCATTTTGTGCTGGGCCCTAGCTCTGCATCAGCTATATCAACTCCACAAATTTCACATTTGCATGTCAGACCGTTTGTGCAGCAGAATCACTTTAACACGATATTATGCTGAAAGAAATAATCTTAACAAATACAACAGGTATCCATCAGCTACGCTGCAAAGCATGAAAATCAGTGATCTGAAGATCTTTTTTTTTTTTTTAAATGGCCATTACTGTACTGATCCCCTGACTATGATTGAAACTCACTTCTATGGGTAAAATAAAGGGTAAAATGTGTACTTTGCTTGTCACTGGGGCCGTACCCTCAAGGGTCTGCCAATTGTACCCTTAGCTGCAGGGTAATTGTACCCCTATAGCTGTACCCTTTTAAGGTACAGAAATGGACTCTGAGGAACACCCCAAAGGTACAAACAGCATTAACCATCAACAGTACAAATATATTCCTCAGAGTCCATTTCTGTACCTTAAACGGGTACAGCTAGGGGTACAATTACCCTGCAGCTAAGGGTACAATTGGCAGACCCTTGAGGGTACAGCCCTAGTGACAAGCAAAGGTATAAATGTTTACCCCTTGTTCTAAGTGTTCCGTTTTATTCTTGCAAGCCATTTTTGTACAACAGGGGGTACGTCTGACAGTAGTGCCACATCCGAGCAGAAAAAAACTATGAATAAATAAATTTTTCAAATCCCGTTTGTTCATATACTAATTAAAACAAACTTGCGGGCTGAACTGAAAGTTTTACTCACGTCTCTAAGTCTTACAACTCGGGTTAACTGTAAGCAATGAAATTGCTTGTCATCGCTTTAAAATGAATACACCAAACTGTCCATTCTGGTAAGCATTAATAAATAAATAAATAAATAAATAAATGTTTCAATTACCTACCTTGATCTAGCTTGATTATTTACTTGGAAAATTTGCCTAATACTTTTATAGTGAGTTCGGTTGACCTGAAAAATCAAGAGAGTGAGCAATATCGAAAGTGTAACTACTTCCCAACTGCTTTCAGTTTCCCGTAACAGGAGTTTCCAGTAAGATTCTGGTGTAAACAAGGTAATCATTATAAAGGATTGATCGCTCTATCTATCAAATACAGTCATAATTACAGTACAGGATCGTTGCTAGAATACGCGGTATTTGGCTCGTGACGCATTTGGCCATAAATATGTAGGCCTAATCTATCATTTATTATGGATGGTGGAAGTTAACCTTTATGTTTAAAGAATCTGGGCTATGTCTCCGTGTTATGCTATAATGTTATTCACAGTATTGTCTCCATGTCGTTTTACGTCAGCATCTGTGACACACCCTAAAACAGCCTGTGATTATAAAGATTCTTGACCCTTGTTCGAAGGAGAGCAGCCTTCACTTTCGCTTGTCGTCGAGCCACAGCCAAGGAGTACCGCGCACATTAACACGGAGCTCTTGTAAGCGTTTTCATTACAATCTATTTATTGTATAAATGTTTCCACTAGGGAAGCCAGAAAAACTCACCGAAAAGCGCAACGCGTTGTACTGCGTTTTTTTTTAATTCCGCATGGTTATTTCGCATACACATGTTTGTAATATATGATATTCTAGCGAATCGCAGAACGCGCGCGTTAAATCCGAAGTATAAGTAATTTTATTTACAAACTGAATGGGGCTTTTCAAATTTTGCGCTACATAGTTTACTACATGTGTCTAAATAGGTTTTGGTTTCATAATCCGTTTTGAGGCTTACAGTATAGGAATGTCCGGCTACGGTGAGAATCTCATTGGCTATATTTGTGTATTTGAAAATGTTATAATAATTATCTTACCTTGAACTGTTGACACTTTCACTAGAAGTTTTTTTTCTGTAAAATATTACCACTGTTTTCATATCTTTGCATTGACTCCACGTAGGATGATATGATTCCCTTACTTGTTATAAGGAAAATAATATTCGTTTCGTATAATTTAGCAGGTTCTGTGTCCAGAGTTTCCACAATGGAGTCCCCTATGTGTTTGATCGAAAACGCCGGGACCTTGCGAGTCGTCCCAGAAGCAATGTCTTATCTTATGGGGGTCAGTCAGCCCGTCGTGGTTGTGGCCATAGTGGGATTGTACCGCACTGGCAAGTCCTACCTGATGAACAAGCTGGCAGGAAAGCAGAAAGGTAAGCTTGCAGATTGCATGGTTGTCACAAGCCTGCATTGCTTTGTTCTCAGGCATCCAGCTTTTATTTATTATTGTGTCTTAAGGTTTTGCCCTGGGAGCCACCATACAGTCCAAAACTAAGGGCATCTGGATGTGGTGTGTACCGCACCCTGTTAAAAAGGACCACACTCTGGTGCTCCTGGACACCGAGGGGCTGGGCGACGTGGAGAAGGTGATCAGAAGGGCTACTTGTTCTGGTTAACGCATTTCAGAATATATATATATATATATATATATATATATATATATATATGTGTGTGTGTGTGTGTGTATGTATATATGTATATATTATTCATTAATCATAATCGAGGTAAAATGTTCAATTAATCGTAATATTCATTGAGGTCATATTGCCCAGCCTTAGATATAACTTTATTTTCAACTGTCCACAACATACATATACATTTCTGGGGGCAAGAAGCAGGCAGGTATAAGCATCATGAATGACACCTACATGAAAGCTACAAAAGTGTTCTCCCTTTAGTCATTTGAAGACACTCATTCACAGCTTGTGTAGACCTGCACTTGTCATAGCGATTTAACTTTGCGCAATGTGTTTAACCTTTCAGTTTCTGTTTTTCCACTCTTTATAGTCTTGTTCCTGTTTCTGTGCTTTTCCGTGTTTCGTGTGTGCTCAATACTGCTGTTCTGCTCTCTTCTCATTTTGAAAGTGAAATCAACAGACAGCTCAGACGAGTCTTAGTGTGTAACTAACATCCCTTTACAAATGGCAGGTATAAGTTACTTTTCATTTCTTTGAAAAGTAATTCCGAATGTCCATTTTGGACTTTTGGCACTCTTGACAGGAAGTCAATGTTTGCCTAGCATCTAGTGGGGCGTGGAGGCTAAGGATAATGGAAAATCCTGGTCTGGAATGTTTAGAGATATGGGTGTTTGAAGGAAAAATAAGTGGACTGGATTTCTAAAATGGTAAATCCTGGAAAATGGGTAATGGAAAATTCTGTCCTGGGTTTTTTTTAGAACTAGTAAGTGGATTGAATTTTACTGGCAATGCAGAGAAAACTACCCAAGCATGGCACAAAACTACTGCTGAGAATGAGAAAAGTGGGGGGGGGGACAAAATCCACACTTTTAAAAAGTGTCGAGGGGGATGGATATTCTGACCCTTATAGTTCTATAGGTTCTACATTGATATATATATATATATATATATATATATATATATATATATGTGTGTGTGTGTGTGTGTGTGTGTGTGTGTGTGTGTGTGGTATAACACTGCATGACACTAGGTGATTTGCTCTTTTATTGATTAACTTTGTATCCATTCTTGTATATAGTTAACTTATTGTGTTGCTAAACCTCATGGATTTTCTGTCTGTATCAAGGGACTGGATCTTTGTTCATTTTAAAAATTGTGACAACAATGACACAGGACTGTATTAAGGTTTCACAGGTATATTGTTCACATGGGCAGTTTTTTATTTTATTTTTATCAATGTTATTTTATGACAAACATCAAAACATCTTGCATCTAGCTCAATCTGTTGATTATAAATGTTAATTGCTGTAGGAAATCCCATCATGAAGCACAGCGGTGAAATTATTTAATTCTCCATTATTTAAAGCTGTAACTATGTTTGCATATGGCTAACTATGGCATGCCATCATTTCATTTAGATTTGGGGATGTTTTACAGGGAGACCAGAAGAATGATGCCTGGATCTTCGCTCTGTCCATTCTTTTGAGCAGCACTCTGGTCTACAACAGCAGAGGAACCATAGACAACCAAGCAGTGGAAAACTTACAGTATCCTTTTTTCTGTAATAAAAACTCAGTATTTAAGTGAAAGCCATGTTAATTACCTGACATCAGGTAAATTTCCCCAACAGGTGGCAGATACCTTTGGGTCTGGCTTTGTGAAAAGGCACCTCTTGGCTTGTTATGATGTATTTGATTTATTGAAGAACAGTTGTTGAACATTGAATGGATCGGTGATAATACAGTCAGTCCTGCCAGAATGTGACTAATGCGTTCCTGGAAAACGTCACATTCACTAAAATCTCATAGTAAAATACGGATATCCAGTGGGAAAAAGAGAGTTAGGGGAATGCGACTCTAAAACTTACGCCAAATTAAATGAATTGCATAATTAAAACAGTGGTACCAATGGGCAGTAATGTAATTATATGCATTTTAAATAAGAAATAATAATATCACATGAGCACCATCTAGTGGCGTCAGAAAATACAGAAAATGATTCATTAATAATTCATATTGGATATCATTGGTCATTAGTCGGAAGTCGTGAGCCAAAGCTGGGCATGCGGACAGCACAAGTACTACGGATTACCGTATGTGAAGGGGCACTGAAAGTTCGACCAATTCACTGTAAAGAATTGGATGCCACTATCGATCACTTGGATAGTTATTTTTGCGTTCAAGTAGTATTTCTATCTAAGATCGTATCTGGTCATAGTTCTTAGTGCTGTTCTTTCCAACTGAAAATCATGAAAATACAAATGCGATTCCTCGTTGTATTGGACTTGGGTACTAATATATCAATTGTATTAGAAACGATTTGTGTTATGATATCACGTGTTGTAACAGGACTGATCTTATTCATCATTAGGCCCTTTAGGGGTATATGTTAGCGACAGTTAAAGGGCCTCGATTTCTGAGTCCCACAGGGCACCATTTCTTAACATGTACAGATATGTCACAGAGCTGACAGAGCGGATCAAGGTGAAATCGCCTGCCAGTGCTTTATCTGCTGAGGGTGATGACGATGAGGAAGATGCCCAGTTTCTGCAGTTCTTCCCCAGATTTGTGTGGGCTGTGCGGGATTTCACTTTGTTGCTGGAAATTGATGGAAAGAAAGTAAATGAAGAAGAGTATCTGGAACATGCTCTTGCCCTTAAAAAAGGTAAGAGATAAAACATCAAGATTAACATAGTCTTGGCTTGGGGGAGGGGGGGTCAGGGGCGG